TTTTTTTTTGCTTGTTATCAAATATTGTGTTGGTGAATCAACTTGTATGGAGTTTAATTGAATCCATAAATTTGGCTCTGTTAAGGCATCCCATATATATGAACATATTTCCCGTTGGATTTCGAGATGAAGATGCATCTAAAACTTCTTGAACTGGAAGATCATTCTGCTAGCTCTTCTATGGAAAGAATGTAAATTCATCAAGGGGTTACAAATTTACTTTGGTAAATGTCCGCGGATAATCTAGTGCTTATGGTTTACCGATTAATGGAAACTTTAGGGAGATGCCTGAAGATGCACCGAATCAATTTGTTTTTCTGTTGCTGGCTGAATGGCGCCACAGTTACTCTTATTTACGAATTTGATAGTTTTTGTTCTTTGAAGTGATGAATTTTCATTCTTTTTCGATGGAAGATCCGTATATGCATTTATCTTTATGAAATGGATGTTGTGAGCAGTAATGACTGTGTGAGCTTGTATGGCAATCCAGGTAAGACTAACCCCAAGTATTAAGGTTTTTAGCTGCTTGTCTATTTTTTGAATTTAGATTGACTTGGAATTTTATCTAGATGAAAGTGAAGAAAAAGGCCTTGGATTGGTCGAAAGTTGGATTGTATTGTTGATTTAAAATCTGGATAAGTTTGATGGTGTGATGATATTTTTTGGATTTATAATGTCATGCAAACAAAACATGCAATATGTAAAACAATGCAATGAAGAAGCAAAATATTCTGAGCATAAGTTGTTGATAATTTGATAATTTAGTGGAGCATTGAAATCCAATTGTGATGGTATATATGATTGACAATTCCACAATACAAAAGAAAATTAGATTATAAGAAACTCGGTGAACTTAATCTCACTTTTAACTAATCATGGTAAAAAGCTAAATTATGGAGGGGAGGAAAAGAAGAAAGGAAGAGGTGTCTTGAAAAACAAGCCCCATATTTGTTCAAGGAAACATCATCTGTAATATGTTCTCAAATTTCACAATCGATTAAGAAAATGAATGCAGAAAGGGAATGAATTTAGTCATTCAAAAGAAGATTTTATTGATTATTTAACATCGTTATATATAGGGCTGTCAAAAAGGCTCGTTGTTTGCAAACAACTCGTGTTTAGCTCGTGAAGAAGCTCGTGTTCGATTCGTTCGTTAAGTTAACGATTCGAATACGAACACTTTTTTTGTGCTCGATATATAAATGAGCCGGCTCGTTTTGGCTTGAAATACTACTCATCATTATATATATATATATATAAATGTATAT